ATACATATCATTAGTTCTACTAAACAGCAAACGTGATTAGTCATCAGTTTCACGGCCGATTAAGTAATTGGCGTTGGTGAAACTGGCCCAAATGATGATTCTTTACGAGAAGCACCATTTGGGCCAGTTTCATCAACGCTTAGCGCTTTTTTTACCTTTTTTTTAAAAAGGTTAAGCTTTACACCATAAGGAATGGACGAATCACAATTATTCTCCTCGCATTCGACGGTAAATTTCTTACGGCTTAAAACTTAAAACACCCATTGCAGATTCGAACTTATTAAAGACATAAGACTTAAGTCATAAGACACTATCTTAAGAATATAAGTCAACTTTCTGCTAAGGCCATTATGCGCACTGAAATATCTTATATTCTTATACCATGTATTGTGCCCTTACTCTCTCATGCCCCTCTTGTAGTGTGTTGAAATTATAACAGTATTTATAATTCCTTCCCAGTGATAATGGAATCGACGTCGATTCGACATCGATTTCATTGTCATTTCTTACTGGGTTGACGACTTTTATAAAAATAAATTCTTATTTGTATAAAGGTTTGCGTTTCGCGGTTTTCTTCCGTGTCCAGATCCATTGCTGAGATGCCAACGTTTCGTGAACCTTGCAGTCAACTTCATCAGGGCGAGGAGCAGCTTGATACTTAGCTGTTCTCCAGGCCGTTACTTTTTGTGTTACGCTGCTTGTTGGGGTGGTGGGGGTGGGCTGAGAGGGGGAAGGGGTTATGGGAGGGCAAAGAAGTGGTGGAATTGGTCGGTCTTCAATAACCAGGAGAATGGTCTTCCATATTTTATTTATGTTATAGCCATTATCTCTATTTAAATTATTAGGATGTTTTTGTATCTCTATGGTTTCTCTATATTTTCTTGGAACGTACGATGTACGAGGGTCGTCTGAAAAGTTTTGAGCCTAACATAGAAACCAGTAATTTTTCTGTCAAATTCAATTCTATTTTTCCACATAGTCTCCTTTTAAGTCGATACATTTTTTCCAGTAAAGCCCCCACCCCTTTAATCCATTCAAATAATACTGAGCGTCTTGCTTTGCAAAATAGGCGCCTACAGATGCGATGACCTCCTCGTTCGATGAAAATTTCTGTCCTCCGAGCCAAACTATGAGCCTAGGAAACAGAAAAAAGTCGCTGGGGACCAGATCTGGTGAATACGGTGGATGGTCAATTAATTCGAACCGCAATTCGTGAATTTTTGCCATAACGACCGCCGAAGTATGAGCCAGTGGGTTATCTTGATGGAACTTTCTTCTTTTTCAAATGCGGTCGTTTTTTCATAATTTCTGCCTTCAGCTTGTCAAGCAATGATGCGCAGTACGTCCCTGTTATTGTTTTACCTTTTTCAAGATAGTCGATCAACACAATTCCATGACTGTCCCAAGAAACAGTCGCCATCACCTTTCCCGCCGATAAAACCGTCTTCGCTTTCTTCGGAGCAGATTCACCCTTTGCAGTACACTGTTTGATTGTTCTTTCGTTTCAGGAGTGAAGTGGTGGACCCAAGTTTCATCAACCGTTATTAATCGACTCAAAAAATCCGACTCGTTTCGCTTAAACCGCTCCAACAGGGCCTTAGAAATGTTCATTCCAATGCGTTTTTGATCCAGAATGAGCAAGCGCGGCACCCAATGCGCGGTTAACTTACGCATGCCTAATTCTTCAGTCAATATATGACAAACACGTTCTTTTGATATGCCAACAGCCTCTGCTATCTTCCTAATCTTAATTCGACGATTGTCCATTATCATTTGATGAATTTCTTCGATGTTATCGGTGGTGGTCGCAGTTGTTGGCCGTCCCGAACGCTCAGCATCAGCTAAGCTGGTACGACCACGTTTAAATTCAGCTACCCATCTTTTCACGGTGGCAAGTGATGGGGCAGAGTCCCCGTAAACAGCGTCCAACTCGGCTTTAATTTGCGTAGACGCATTGCCTTTCAAATGCAAGAATTTAATTATAGCATGATATTCAATTTTTTCTATTTTTACAAAATGACGACACAAATGATTGTCAAACAAGAACTGAACTTCCAAAGTTGTCACAATTGTCACAGATATCTTTCGTAAGTATCACGATTATAATACCAGAATGGCTTTGACGAATAACGCTATCTTCATGATAAGGCTCAAAACTTTTCAGACGAACCTCGTATTGTTGACTATTGTGATCTTTTTGTCAAACAGTATTTGATGTCCATGTTTCGATGTTGTGTTCTGATAATGCCGACTGCATGGCGTGTTTTAGTCTGACATCACGTTAGTGTTCTTTGATCCGTAGGTTGACCATTCTCCCGGTATCTCCTACTTCTTTGCCCTCCCACAACTCCTTCCCTCTCTTAGCCCACCCCCACCATCCCAACAAGCAGCGTAATATAAAAAGGAACGGCCTGGGGGATAGCTCATTATCAGGCTGCTACTCGCCCTGATGAAGTGGACTGCAAGTTTCACGAAACGTTGGCATCTCAACAATGGATCTGGACACGGAGGAAACTCGCGAAACGCATAACCTTTATATAGAAAGCACCCATGGAAGCCTTAAGAATATTCATAAAATCTTAATTGTTAAACGAAATTTATTTCATCAGGTTAGTTGCCCAGTTACGTCATTTTTCATGGGGTGATCCCGATTGACCACGGCTCGATTGGACACCACCAATCACAGCGACCAGTGCTTAGGAGCTTTGTAGTCTCAAGCGCTGTGAGTGGCTCGTGTCCAATTGAGTCGTGTCCAACTGAGTGCCACCCATTATTCACCACTGTAACTTTCTTGTTCACTAAACAAATTTTACTTTATCAGCTTTACTTTATGATTGTGTTTCAAATCCGATAAGTAGTAATCGGTATACAGTTTATATTACATAACTGGAAAATGTTTTTAAAATTTATATATAAATATTGTGGCGGTCTATTTGACACCACATACATATTTCGAACGACTCGAATGAAGCAAACTTCATGCGGATGCATTTGTTTCCAAGACCTACTTGAAGTAATTCGAAAAAAATTAATTTCTCAAGAAATTAATAGAAGGCGCATTTTGGCAGATTTTTTCGTATTCCGAAAAACTCTGAACGGCTATATAAAGGCATGGCCAACGGCTTGATTTCATCTCTTGCAATATACCGCAAGAGCATTATCCTTTTTGTGGTGTAACCGTGGAGTCTATCTCTCGTCGATCACGGATCATTCCCTGGTGGAAGAAATCTTCCTCAGCGAGATCCAACGAGCCGTCTCAGATTCAAGAGGTTGCACCGAGTAATTCAACGGCAACCAAGCAACAGGGCGAATCAATATCCCCTCCAGTGATCTGGCGGCTACTTAAGGTGGAGAATTCTTCGCCGATTCTCACAAGACCTCCGAGCTTCCTCCTGGCCAGTAACGACCCGAGAGTTAGGAGACCTCTGTCTCCCAGCTATTCAGCACCGCCGCCGCTCCTGTCTCCGCTACCTAGATCTCCGAGTGACTTCTCTACAAGGGCAACGCAGACCCAGCCTGTTCCGAGAGTTCACCGAGGAACGCTGAGCCGACCTGAGGTAATCCACCGAGAGACGCAGAGCGACTTCACATCGCAGAAGGAAACATCCACACCACTAGGATCACCGACAAGCTACACACCACCAGACTCACCTCCTGGATTCTACTCTCTCGACTTAACACGAAGAAGACTTTGGGGACCGAAGAGATTTACTAAGACCAAACCGACAATTTCTTTTAGAGAAAGATTAATATAGTTTTTATTTAGAAACGGCCCTTTTCAGGGCCACATAAATTGTAAACATAAAAACGGTCCTTTTCAGGGCCAATTAATTTATAGAAAGTTTAATAAATTTTATCAAACGAACACGCTACCATAAACCCTTCAAATATTATTATACGTCATTTATCTATAAATATTATTATATATCTTATATTATTAGACATCAAGATTTAGCGTCGATTGTATTTGAATCTACTGTACTCATTTGATTTGAAAAGTATAATCACTATTGTAAGGAAACAGGTTGCAAGGGACAATCTGTAAAGTTTAAACGAAAAGCACGTGTTTGGAGTATGTTTGCTAAAAATAGAATTTCATATATTGCACGTTTTGCTCCGTAATGCAAGAAAGAAATTACTTTATATATAGTATGGGATATTAATTTATCATCAATGTTGATCACGACGATTTTCATCGCATTTTTAGGCCAGAACAAGCGGTGCGGGCCATCTGTGTAACAGATGGCGAGCGAATTTTAGGTCTTGGTGATCTCGGAGCTTGCGGCATGGGTATCCCCGTTGGAAAACTGGCACTTTATACAGCTCTAGCTGGAATCAAACCGTATCAATGCCTCCCGATTACCATTGATGTAGGCACTAATAACGAACAGCTAAGAAACGATCCTCACTACATTGGTCTTAATAAGCCTAGGAGCCAAGGTGCCGAGTATGATGAATTAATCGACGAATTTATGGCTGCCTGCGTGCAAAAATATGGACAAAATGTTCTTATTCAAGTAAGCTAACGTATACTTTTAAATATACAAGGTGTCCCAGTAACTCTGTTACAAGGCAATATCTCCGTTAACGGTAACGTTAATGATATGCGAAAATGCCTAAGGAAGAAATTGTTTGGTTCGAAGGGACGCACATTATGGCGGAAATTATTTCTTTTTCAAGGTCATATTTTGAGAGCCTTTAAGGTCATCGATATTTTTTTAAATAGGACTACATATTTTTATCATTATAGCATAATAGCTAAGGTCAAGACGAATCCAATGGCTTGTAATACCATGACATTCACGTGACCTTGAGTAAGAAAAATTCAGAAATTTTGAGGAATTAATGTGCATAATGAAATAAGTACAATTAAAAGTTTGGCATAGAAAAATTTATTATAATAAGTGTTCAAAATTGTTTCCATGGACTTCTAAACATTTGTTAATTCGAGTATTAAACGAACGTCGTACATCTGCAAACATTTGAGGTGTTACAGCAGCACAAGCTTGTCGGATTCTTTCTTTCATGTCGTCATGTGTCGTAGGCTTGTCGAAAAAACTTTCTCTTTGATAAAGCCCCATAGAAAGAAATCTAGGCGATTAATATCAGGAGAACGTGCCAGCCAAGGAGGCAGACTTCTTCTTCCTATTCATTCATTTGGATAAAATATTTAATGCATTGCGAGAAGAACGAGCGTAATGTGGCGGTGCACCGTCTTGTTGAAACCACATAACCAGACGTAAGGATAGAGGAATATTTTCTAATAATGACGGAAGTGTACTAAGCAAGAAATTTGTGTACGTATTGCCAGTAAATCCTAGGTGGATGTAAACTGTGCAGTTTCAACACCGTTGGTCGTTGAATGTATGGTGTGGTATTTTGGGTGACTATCTAATTGGACTACATTTTTTTGATACGACTGTTAATGGCAATACGTACACAAATTTCTTGCTTAATACACTTCCATCATTATAATAGAAAATGTTCCCCTATCTTTACGTCTGGTTATGTAGTTTCAACAAGACGGTGCACCGCCACATTACGCTCGTTCTTCTCGCAATGCATTAAATATTTTATATCTAAATAGATGGATAGGAAGAGGAAGTCTGACTCCTGGGCCGCCACGTTCTCCTGATATCAATCCTCTAGATTTCTTTCTATGAGACTTTATCAAATAGAATGTTTTTTCGACAAAGCCTACGACACGTGACGACATGAAAGAAAGAATCCGACAAGCTTGTGCTGCTGTAACACCCCAAATGTTCGCAAATGTGCGACGTTCGTTTAATACTCGAATTAACAAATGTTTAGAAGTTCATGGAAACAATTTTGAACATTTATTACAATAGATTTTTCTATGCCAAACTTTCAATTGTATTTATTTCATTATTTGCATCCATTCCTAAAAATTTCTGAATTTTTCATACTCAAGGTCACGTGAAGGTCATGGTATTATAGGCCATTGGATTCGTCTTGACCTCAGCTATTATACTATAATGATAAAAATATGTAGTCTTATTTAAAAAAAGTATCGATGATTTTAAAGGCCCTCAAAATATACTTTGAGAAAGAAATAATTCCCATCATAATGTGCGTCCCGTTGAACCAAACAATTTCTTCCTTAGGCATTTTCGCGTATCATTAACGGTAACGAAGATATTGCCTTGTAACAGAGTTACTGGGATACCCTGTATAATATGTCTTTAACTAAAATTTTGTTAAATGACCTTATGATACGTACACGTAATATTGCACGCTTTCTGTGTTTTAGTTCGAAGATTTTGGAAATCATAATGCCTTCCGTTTCTTAGACAAATACAGAAATAAATATTGTACGTTCAACGATGATATACAAGGTACAGCTGCGGTTGCTGTGGCTGGAATTTTAGCATCGCAAAGAATAACTAAGAAAAGAATGGCAGATAATAAATTTGTCTTCCTTGGTGCCGGAGAGGTTTGCAAATTTTCAACATAATGCAATAGCCTTATTTTGAAGATACTAAATATTTATATTTTTTTGTTTTAAGCTCGCATTGTAACAATATTTATTTTATTTGATTATAGGCAGCTATTGGAATTGCTGATCTTTGTGTCAAAGCAATGGAAGCTGACGGTTGCACTCAACAACAAGCGCGCAATAACATTTGGATGATGGATATTGATGGGTTACTTGTAAAGAATCGGCCCGAGGGTAATTTGGAAGGCCACAAGATCTGGTACGCGAAGGATTACAAAGTGATGAAGACGTTAATCGAAGTTGTGAAAGAAATCAAACCTTCTGTCTTGATAGGTAAGCAAGTTTCTTCATAGAAAAACAATCTTGGTATATAACTGAAATGTTCACATAGGCGCTTCGGCGGCAGCAGGGGCATTTACTCCTGAAGTCTTAAGAGAAATGGCAAAAAATAACGAGAGGCCGTTGATTTTTGCTTTAAGTAATCCAACCAGTAAAGCTGAATGTACGGCGCAACAAGCGTATGATTGTACTGATGTATGAATATAATAAAATCTTAAATAATACATTGATAATTTGGCTTTTTAGCATACTAAATTCATTTATCAGATTAAATGTCTATGTTTTAGGGTAGATGTGTATTCTCTTCAGGTTCGCCATTCGGTGAAGTAAAACATAATGGGAAAATATATAAGCCTGGACAGGGCAATAATGCGTACATCTTTCCTGGTATTGCTTTAGGGGTTATTGCGACCGGAGTACATCATATTACTGAAGATTTATTCTTGATCTCGGCACAAACTGTTGCCGATCATGTAAAAAATGAAGATCTTGAAAGGGGTAGTTTATATCCGCCATTAAATAATATTCGCGAGTGTTCTATCGACATCGCGGTTAAAATAGCTGATTATGCTTATGCTAAAGGTAGGTGTTGTTATAATTTCGGAATTGTGTGTAAAATACTATTTAGTATTATCTATTGTTATATCTATAGGTGGTTTAGCAAGTGAATATCCGGAGCCAAAAGATAAACGACAATTCATCATAAGTAAAATGTACGATGTCAACTACGACAGTCCACTGCCAAATTTGTATGAATGGCCGGGTGATTATGCCAAACCACGTATCTTACCGGAAAAGTAAGTATAATGAACTTCATGATTATAAGTTAATTCTTTCAACTATGTAACGTCACATTATTCAATCCAGTAAAATTTATCATTTTTATAAGTTGTAGAATTAAAGAAATACATATTGGATTGGTCAAAAGTAACGTCATTTTTTAGCTCGAAATTGTATGTATTATACAATAACTTTATTAAAAATGAACGAAATTTAAATTTAAAAAAGACTTTAAAGTTTGAAATCTCTACTTTCGAAATTACTGTATGTTTTTAGTTTCTGTAAGTTCGATAATTTTTACATATAGAAAACAAGCTAAAAAAATAGGAAATTTCCTTTTTACTTAGTAAACCAGTTACACACCCAAAAAAATTTGCGAAAATTTTCGACTGTTAACGTAAAAACTTGAAGTTTTGCTTACAAAATCGTTTTTTAAAAATATTTCTACGATTTTTTGTTACTCGCGGTTTAAGAAAAAGAGTATTCTAACTTTGATTGCCCATAATTCCGTCAAAAATCAGTTATAAGATTCTTAATAGATTCTTAACCAGTAGGATAGATACACCGATTCTAAGTCCCCACGTGTTAGTGCATATACGTATATGCGGTATGTATGTGTGTGAGAATGTCAGGGAGAGGGGGAAGTGCACACAGACGCTGGGTCCGAGGGAGGGGGAAGCGTGTCATCGGGGTCCGTGTTAGAGGAGGAAGGAGAGTTTGTTCCTTCTTTCTTTCGCCCGTTGCATGCACTTTCTAACCCGTTGTTCTCTCTGTCCCACCCGTTGCGATCCTATTCTTATCATGTTATTCGCGCTCTCTATTCCACCCGTTGTGGTCCTAACCTAACTATCATATTTATGCTCTCTCTTCCACCAACTGCGGTCCTATACTTATCGCCATATTCGTGCTCTCTCTTCCTTCCATTGCGCTCTCTCTCCAACTTCAACGTTCTCTTTTCTTCTTTCGCACACGATTTTATTAAATAGATATGGTATTTATTTTTTACGATTTTTTAATGATATGACTTAGCAATTAATTATAATATTTTCTTAGTAATGTAGTACAAATAGCCAAGCGCGCTTTCTTATCAACTAATTCAATACGGAGGTATGAAGAAAGAATGATTAAGAGACAAAGGACTACCAGGTATGTAAATATGAAACCGGAATTTTTTAATAGAACATAAACGTTTATTGCATGAAAATAATAAAAAATATTTTATTCGAAGTATTGCCCATCGCTAGCTATACATTTTTCCCACCTGTCTGACAATTTGTGGATGCCACGTCAAAAAAATTGTTGCTCTTTTGAGCCAAACCAGTCATCTAGCCATTTTCGTACATTTTCGTAAGAAGTGAAGCGTTGCTGACCAAGTGCGTGTCCCATCGATGCAAATAAGTAGTAATTGGACGGAGCCAAGTCTGGTGAGTAAGCCGCATGCGACAGTATTTCCCAACCAAACGCCTCAATCGTTTCCTTGACCAGTTTTGCTGTGTGTGATGGTGCATTATCATGAAGCAAAATCACTTTGTGTTGCCTTTTTTGATATTCCGGTCGTTTATCACGCAAAGCTTGATTCAAATTGATCATTTGTTGTCGGTAGCGTTCAGTATTAACGGTTTCTCCAGGTTTTAGCAGCTCATAATAGATTACACCTTTCTGATCCCACCAAACACAGAGCATTGTCTTCCGTCCATAGCGATTTAGCCTTGCAGTCGATGTCGATGGTTCGCCTGGAGTTACCCATGATCTTTTACGCTTAGGATTCTCAAAATATATCCACTTTTCATCGCCAGTCACAATTCGATGGAGACATGACTTTCTTTTGTACCTGGCGAGCAGCATTTCGCAAGTGGTTTTTCGGTTTTCCTGCTGTCTTTCATTCAGTTCATGTAGAACCCATTTTCGATCTTCTGGATCTTTCCCATGGATTTCAAACGTATGGAGACGGCTTCTCGTGTCACATTCAATTGATCCGCGAGTTGTTGTTGAGTTTGAGCGTCATCCTCATCCAATAATGCTTGCAATTCGCTGTCTTCAAACTTTTTCGGTGGTTTTCCACGTTCTCCGTTTCTCACGTCAAAATCGCCACTTTTGAATTTTTTAAATCACTCAATGCACTGCGATTTACCAAGAGCATGCTCACCGTAAGCTTCGACAAGCATTCGATGCAATTCTGCAGCAGTTTTCTTCAAATGGTAACAGAAAATCAATGCTGTCCGCAAATCGTAGTTTCCGGACACAAAATTCGACATGTTCAACGTTATTACAAACTATACTGTATGAAACTTGTACTGTTGTGAGTTGAAAATTTTTGTCAGATGTCAGAACAAGGAAATGGCGTCAATGACGCGGTCTGACGGCAACTACATTGACAGCTATGGCCATCTATTGGTAAATTCCGGTTTCATATTTACATACCTGGTAAAAATAATTTTAAACAAAGTGTAATATAACTTTAATATTAATTTTAATATTCTCATTTTTCATGTAATGCATGGTATACAATATGATCTAAAGCATTTGCTATCAATTCACATTCGATAGTAGAATTTCTATCATAAATCTTGCGCAAAGTATTTACTCCTTCAAAATTATTCATAACGCAATTTTGACCTTCTAAAAGTGGAAGGACCCAGGATGCCAGCGGCGCTATTCGGTCGGGTCTTACGACCCTTGTGACGGACTGAACACGTCACGTGACAACGTGTTCAACGCAACGTTCAAGTTCGAGCATAAAAAGTATAATCGATGGTTTCATATACAAACACTTATTATATAATGATAATTTTACATTGTGTATATCATGTATTTTTAGTTCAATCACAAAACTTTGAATAATGACGATGGAGTATTCGGCTGCACCAATTGTTTGATATTTGCCAGTTTATCGATGAATATTGTCCACGTAGCATATGGTAGGACGATGCGGTCGCCGATCGCGATTTCCACGTGGGACATAGGTCCCACAGCTATTCCGATATCCAGATATTTGTAAGCTGTAGGTGTTAATGCGCATATTCTTCTTAAGATATAAGGCGTATAGCGAGGAAATGTGCTGTAATAAAAAAGATGAATATAGGTAAGCGAGATGTAGAGAAAGAATGTATGAAAATTAATAAAACAGTATAAAATTGTAATACTCACTTGTGTGATTCATCTGGTTGAATCGGAACGTAATAGTTTACACTTTGTTGCATTTTCAAGAAAAGCGGTAACGGCTGTAGTATTATCTTCTTTATGCTGTATGAGTGTTTCACCGGTGTCTACTGAGCGACTGATGTAAAAATATGGTCTTCTTTTAAATACTGAAGCCCTCCACATATATTCGAAAGTTTTACATTCCATAGATATTAGAGCGTTTGAAGTGAGTAAACTGACTAAATCAGTAATATCACCATATATATTTGGTAATTATGCCGATGAGGGGAGCCAGTCCTGATGATCTTGACCTTGATATATATCAAGGTCATGACCCTGATTGACCTCCAACAAGTTTTAGCCGTCGCTCGTTATTCGTTAAAAAGTTATTAACAGTTAAAGTTAGTAATTTTCGAGATGTATAATTGTATTATTCCAGATACATTTTTTAATTCCACCAAATACTTTATTCAACATTATTATTAATAGGATACATTTCACTCATAATATAAAAAAATGCCTCAATTCTTGTCTCCATTGAATAAATCCTTTTAAATAAAAATTCAGTAAGATAATATTTATATATAAAGTATAAAGGCGAAAGTCGGACGCCCCTGAAGCAGGGGGGAGGG